CCCCCACCTTTTTGTCCCGCCTTTTTTCTCCGCCCTTTTCCCCCACCTTTTTTTCCCGCCTTTTTTCCCCGCCTTTTTTCCCCTGACGATGTAAGTTGAATTTTGTGCTTCCAGGCTCCCAGAAGTCACCGGGCTCTGGCTCCGCCCCCGGCCTTCCCATCTACGTGGACCTGGCCTACATTCCCAACCACTGCAGCGCTAAGAACGTGGACCAGGAGTTTTTCAAACGCGTCCGCTCTGCCTATTACGTCATCAGCGGGAACGACGGCGCCGGCGGCGAGCCGAGCCGAGTGGTTCTGGACGCCCTGCTGGAGGGAAAGTCTCAGTGGGGGTCCAACCTACAGGTACCAGCACATCTGTGTCCACTATTCAATTCAGTTCAGTTTTATTTCTATAGCTCCAGATCCCAACAACACCAGCTATCTCCCAGCTTTCATAAAGAGCAGCTCAGACTCTGAGTTATTTCCAGAAGAACAAAAATTCACAGAAGAGCAGCACTAGGAGACACAGGGAGGAAACAACTGCCTTTAGGAGGAAGGAACCTGGAACAGAACCAGGGGGAGGGGGGGTATCTGCCTCTAGAGGGGGGAGAAAGAGAGAGAGAGATAGGGAGAGGTCAAGAGAGAGAGGGGAAGAAAATCACCTCCTATTTTTAGCGGGTTTATTCATCCAACTGCCCAGTGAGACGCTGTAAGTCTGTTCTTATCTCTTCGGTCCTCCTGATAGACTCAGACAGGAGGCAGTGGGAGGTTTCCCATCTACCTGGGGGCCTTGGATCAGGACCAGAGAGGAAAAGCTTCCCAGTTTAGCTCTGATCCATCTCATTTCAGAGTCCAGTTTAATCTCATTTCAGAGTCCAGTTTAATCTCATTTAAGAGTCCAGTTTAATCTCATTTAAGAGTCCAGTTTCATCTCATTTAAGAGTCCAGTTTCACCCCATTTCAGAGTCCAGTTCCATCTAATTTTAGTCCAGTTTAATCTCATTTCAGAGTCCAGTTTAAGATAATTTAAGAGTCCAGTTTAAT